TTCTGTTTTGGGGAACCAAAAACAAGTGCAGAACAAGTCAATTAATGGTCATTTGACAGGCGTCACAAAAAAAAAAGATTTTATTGGCTCACAAAGACAATAGCACTTTACAAAAGCTTTCCATTGAAAGTGAAATCATAATGCAAATGTGCCAAGTCGAAAGTTTGTTTGGCAGTCAAAACTAAGACCACTGTAAAGTTCTAGCTTGCTGGATTCTTTTGAAAAGTGGATAATGTGTCTGGCTCGAAATGTCTTCCATCTTTCTTTTGTTGGTACTTGAGAAAACTCTGCATGTCACAGAAGCCTGTCAAGATGATCATGTGCAAGTACATTTGTTAATTTCATTATCAAAGGAATTGTGCAAAATGTCTTGATCTCTGCAAGTCCATTCTCGTCTTCTTAACTGTGACCCACACAGTGTACGATAAAATTTTCAATCATGGACTAGAATCCTCTTCTTAACTAAGGTAACAATTCAGCTTCTTCATCAGCTTCATTCTCAAATAAACACAGGTTAAAATTTGGAAGGACAAAGTCAACATGCAAGTCTTTAGGGTTCACAGACATATGACAGTGTTGGAAATAATTTTTCTTGCTTGAAAGGCCATGTGCCCTTTCAAACCTTTACTTTGAAAGGACATATTTGAGAATTGGTTGGTCATTAATTAGCATACCGTATTTACTCAAATAAGTGCCGAGTCACTTATTAAATTTTTCATGCCTCCAATGCGGCGCTAATTTGAGGGTAGCGTTTATTTGAAGGTTGGATACAACAAAGAATTGTTTTAGCCATGACATTGTTATTTGCGGTATTAAACTAACAGAATATATGTCTTTTGATTTTGATTATAATGGGGCCGTGGCACCAAGAGCCGTGGCTCTTGTTTGCCTTAAATCTCTTGATAGTACATGGCAAGAAAACCTTAAACCCAAGGAACGATTTTGGGTAACCCTTTTCATGAACACATTCACATTGGCAACTGTTATTTTTTTTTAAAGAAATAACCTTCAGCGTGCAAAGAAAGTAGTGTCCGATAGCCCAGGGCTAGTGGATTTAGCTATCGGGCTAGTGAAATATGTTTTTAACTTGCCCGACGGGCAAGTGATGTTCTTTGAGGAATTCGAATAACAGAAGAAGTGTGAAATCAATTCTGCAAGATGAAAAGCTTTTGGGGCTAGTTGAAATGACATCTGGGCTAGTAAATGCTAGCTTTAGCTTGCCCGAATGGCAAGCTGTAAAAATGATTTTCTTTGCACCCTGAACCTTCCCTCCAAATTTCTCATGGTTCTAGACATAATTTGCAGAAATCTCAAGCTTTGAAAAAGAATCGAGATAGTCTAAATAGACCAGTAGAACATGAATGATTGCTTCCCACCATCTGGCAAGTTCATTAAATTTTGCTTGAATGTGATTTTTACTCAGACGAAAGCTGGCGTAATTCAGGGAAATTAAATTTTGGTTTAGAACATTTCTTCATGCTTATTTGTTTTTATTACATTGCATTGTTGAATGTGCTCATTAACAAATTCACCATTGGTTATTCTGGAGAAAAAGTGCCCAGGACACAGGTAGTTTTGAAAATGGCAATTCAGTTCAGAGAAAAAAAATGACATACACAATCTTAAAATGAAAATTTACGTGTAGTACTGACGAGCTTCATGTAATTAAAAATGTACATCATTACAAAGGAACCAAAGCAGTGATATTTACTTCATTGAAAATATTCCCAAAACCACCAATAATGCTGCACATGTCTTACCTGTATAACGTGAATTTGTCTTACATTGTAAAAGCATCCCTGTAGTATTGAATTAAAAGAATATCTTGTTTTTTTATGGTTGACTGTTCACAGCCAACTTCAAAGGTAGGCAGTCATCATTTGCGTTATTGTGAAGATATTTTCTTTCCTCTCTCCCAATTCATGACTAAATTTACTTTTGAACAATGCCTTTCCTTCTGGTTGTTGTTCAAACTGGCAAAGAAATCGCGCGGAAAGTTTTCTTGTTCGTCTTACAAAGCTTTCTTCATCTTTCAGATCGTTGAAACAGGAAGCCATTAGTTTCAAAGCATCTGCTTCCAGTTGCATAAATTAGATTTCTATATATGGAAAGTAGAGTCCAGTAATTCCTTGACAAAGAGAACTGCTTCATTTCGCCAGATAGGAAAACGAATACGATAATTATGTGGGCATTTTCAAGTTTCTTTAAAATAGAGAGTCTTTCACTGGAAAGCAAAGTTTATCTTTTTATCATGGTGTTTTACCTTGTAATATTTTCGAAATCATCTTAGGGATGTTAACAAGCTTCTAATTTCTCATGGTTCTAGACATAATTTGCAGAAATCTCAAGCTTTGAAAAAGAATCGAGATAGTCTAAATAGACCAGTAGAACATGAATGATTGCTTCCCACCATCTGGCAAGTTCATTAAATTTTGCTTGAATGTGATTTTTACTCAGACGAAAGCTGGCGTAATTCAGGGAAATTAAATTTTGGTTTAGAACATTTCTTCATGCTTATTTGTTTTTATTACATTGCATTGTTGAATGTGCTCATTAACAAATTCACCATTGGTTATTCTGGAGAAAAAGTGCCCAGGACACAGGTAGTTTTGAAAATGGCAATTCAGTTCAGAGAAAAAAAATGACATACACAATCTTAAAATGAAAATTTACGTGTAGTACTGACGAGCTTCATGTAATTAAAAATGTACATCATTACAAAGGAACCAAAGCAGTGATATTTACTTTATTGAAAATATTCCCAAAACCACCAATAATGCTGCACATGTCTTACCTGTATAACGTGAATTTGTCTTACATTGTAAAAGCATCCCTGTAGTATTGAATTAAAAGAATATCTTGTTTTTTTATGGTTGACTGTTCACAGCCAACTTCAAAGGTAGGCAGTCATCATTTGCGCTATTGTGAAGATATTTTCTTTCCTCTCTCCCAATTCATGACTAAATTTACTTTTGAACAATGCCTTTCCTTCTAGTTGTTGTTCAAACTGGCAAAGAAATCGCGCGGAAAGTTTTCTTGTTCGTCTTACAAAGCTTTCTTCATCTTTCAGATCGTTGAAACAGGAAGCCATTAGTTTCAAAGCATCTGCTTCCAGTTGCATAAATTAGATTTCTATATATGGAAAGTAGAGCCCAGTAATTCCTTGACAAAGAGAACTGCTTCATTTCGCCAGATAGGAAAACGAATACGATAATTATGTGGGCATTTTCAAGTTTCTTTAAAATAGAGAGTCTTTCACTGGAAAGCAAAGTTTATCTTTTTATCATGGTGTTTTACCTTGTAATATTTTCGAAATCATCTCAGGGATGTTAAGCTTCTAAGACAAAAGCTAAGTCAATTAAGTACTCGGACATCATGTCCCAACATATTGCAATGTTAGTCAGACTTTTAGGACATTTTGGTTGGACAATGTCCGATGTCCAACAGTAATTTCCAGCATTGTATGATAACTTTGTTTAAATTATTTTCAGAGATAAAAACTAAGATTATTATATAAACACCAGTGAAATAACAGGGGAGCTTTCGCACGAAAACTTGATATCCTCACATGTGAAAGTATCACCGTTGCTATGGCTACATAATAAATCCTGCCTTTCACACCAAAAAACTGTTTATTATAAGTGAAATGGTTTGGTATTTCATTGGTGTTTATATAATAAATTAATACAACATTACGTGGCTGCTTGGAGATATGAAATTTCTTTGTGAGTGTTGAAAATATTTCACTTGTTCGCTGCGCTCACTCGTGAAGTTTTTTTTCAACATGAGAAGAGAAATTTTGTATCTCCATGCAGCTATGAAATATCCTCTTGGTATTGTTCTGCCATCTTGTTTGGAAACATCTTGGAATATTGACTTGTTTCAAATTAATGTCACCAGAAAGAATAAAAAATATTGATACAAAAAATGTACATTTCTCTGAAATACATGTATATTATTTAGCAGTTGGTCATTCAGTGAGCATTTTATATTTGAGGCTGATGCCGACAACCTCTTTTCTTCTTTACAGTGCATTGATAGAATTATGTAGTGAACATGTCACTTTATTTATAAACGTTTGTTAGTGTTCTTAGTTCAATATTAAAATACAAACTTTTACTTTGTTTTGTTTTTTGTTTTGTTGTCCAAAATATTTTATCTTACCTTGCGTGAGCTAAACTTGTACTTTCTTTGCCTTTTTTTGTCCTTTGTGTCAGTCCAATTTTTTTACATGCCCCCTTGACCAATATTTGAAAAGGTTCTCAATCCAGTTTCAAGGTCCTGAGTTTTTCAACTCGCTAAGTCGTGAAATTTGAAACAGTGAACGTGTTGGTTTGTTTGGAAAAGACTTAAAAGGTTCCTTCTTTCTTGGTCACATATACGTTGTACTCTTTGTTGAGCTACATACTTTTTCTTTTCTTTTCTTTAATTTATTAATAAACCATTTTTCATTGAGTACATGTACCCTTAATTCACATGGTGTAAACTATATTCTTAGGAAGCCTATAGTTCCTCAGCCCCCGGCTTCTACACTGTACAGCAGCAGGGTGCAAAGAAAATCATTTTTACAGCTTGCCATTCGGGCAAGATGAAGCTAGCATTTACTAGCCCAGACATCATTTTAACTAGCCCCAAAAGCTTTTTGATGAGCAGAATTGATTTCATAGTTCTTTTGTTATTTGAATTCCTCAAAAAATGTCACTTGCCCAGGAGGCAAGTTAAAAACAGAATTCAGTAGCACGTTGGCAAAATCAACTAGCCCCGGGCTATCGGACACTACTTTCTTTGCAAGCTGAGCTGTATATACATGTAGGCTTCCTTGCTGATTTGTTGAATAGATTAGTGTCTATCCTCTTTCATATTTTAAAATTTATTGTGTTTTTGTAAATTATAAATATACAGTTAATGGTTAATATTGGTTAATGGCAAAAAAATGAATGAATGAACCTTTTTCTATTTTATATTAAACTTTCAGGAATGTGTTCTCAGTGGGGTTATGTCTGTGAATGGAAAGAAAGTTCTTCACATGGACCGACAGAAGTACTATGGTGGGGAGAGTGCATCAATCACCCCCCTGAATGATGTATGTGGATCATTGATTTTTGTTGACAAATTTTCACCTTGACAGGATGCTTTGTTTTGCCTTTTTTGTGTCATGGAGGTTATTAAAATTGCAGCCCGGAAAGTTTTCCCGCGTTGATTTGTTTTGGATGGCTTGATAGTGAAAACCAGTATTGTTCAAAGTAATTTTTTTATCTCATGTACAGTGTAGTAGGATGTCGATCAAGGTAGTACATCACTGGATGATTGCACCAGCTAAAGACCCAGAAATTAGCTTCCTTTTTTTCAGTCAATTGACATCATTGAAATAATTTTGGTGCTTACACTGTACATGTAGTGTTATTACAGTGTACATGTAGTCATATAAAAAATGCTCATTTGTTGTCGTTGTTTTGAATTTTAGTTCTTCACATTGTTTGGGAAGACACTAGATGATGAAAACAAGTATGGAAGGCCTAGAGACTGGAATGTTGATCTTATTCCCAAATTTTTGATGGCTGGAGGTAAGTTTAGATTTACGTAAGTCAGTAGAAGAGAGTCACGTCCAGTATAATTCCTTAAAGCTCCACAGATGACAAGAACTGGGATTTTACAGCTTTTAAACTCATTGCCAGTTGATGAGCTTGGGAACTGGTGCCTAAAAGGTTAGCGGAGTGGGGGGGGGGGGGGGGGGGCAAATGCGAAAAATAAGGCAAGGAGGTAACCAGGCAACCCTGGAAGTTGGAACCACCCCTGCAAGCGGCCACTAACTGGCACCATCACACTGAGAAAAACCTCAGTGGAAGAGATACTTACCATGTGAAGTACTTACCTGCGCACCCACACATGACAGCAGGGAGAGAGGAGAGGGAGCAAGAATCTGCAAAGATTCGCCAACACAAAGCTTAAAGATGATCTGCAATGATCAGCGAGAGTAGCTTGCAAAATAATGCTAAAGGATAGCGGCTCTGAAAACCTGAAATGGGCTGCCCCGCACGTCATGCATGCTAATACGGGGACACCACTGGCAGCATTGGCTCGAGATTAACTTAGCCTAAATAAAAATTTAGCCACATAAAAAATCAGTAGATTTGATGCAAGCTGCTGCTAAAATACACTAGAAAATAAAGTCACAACAACTATTTCATGTAGAAATCACTGAGACAGTCCAGGGAATCCCAGAACTGGAGAGAGTTTACCAAAGGAGCTAGGGTCCTTTCGTACATATAATGTACGATGGCTGCTTAAAGGGTTAAGCAAAAATAAAAATAGCCTAAATAAAAGTTTAGCCACATAAAAAATCAGTAGATTTGATGCAAGCTGCCACTAAAATACACTAGAAAATAAAGTCACAGCAACTAATTTTCATGTAGAAAGCACTGAAACAGTCCGGGGAATCCCAGAACTGGAGAGGAGTGGTGACTATGCCATATGTCCATTCATTCATGGAGAAAATACAACGCATATTCACCAAACACAGGGTAGCCACTGTGATTAAACCTCAAACCACCGTCAGACAGGTTTTAGTTCACCCGAAGGACAAAGTTGAGAAGCACAAAAAGTCTGGAGTGGTGTACAAAATTCCATGCAGCCAATGCGAAAAGGTATATATCAGTGAAACAGGGAGACAGCTGGGAACCAGGATCACAGAACACAGAAAGGAAACAGAAAAGATCTCTGACAGAAATTTCACAAGATCCACCCGCAGAGCTTCTACCAATGAACACCATAAATCAGCCATAACAGACCACGTCTGTCAGAACAATCATATTATGAATTGGGAAGCAAGTGAAATAGTTGAGCAGGAAAGCGACAAGTTTAAGCGATGGATTAAGGAATGCTCATGTATTAGATCGAACACTCCTACTATGAACAGGGACGAGGGAGCCTATCAGCTTTCTCCCATATGGACACAAGTGATCTCCACCCCCAAACCAGGGGGGAGGGGGCGTCTACAGAGTGACTTTGCGCGTTTATCACGATAATTAACACCTCCAGAAGCCCATTTAAGGCTTCTGACACTTTTCATGTTTTTCAAGTTTTGATAAAGATGGCTGACAGTCATCGAAACTGTCAGCATCAATAAGACGTTAATACTGGCTATGATTTAAGAACATTTAAATCAACGATTTTTAGCACCTTTCCAACGAGTTTTGCCCATGCATGATTGTGGTTTGTCTTTGTTATATAAACCCTCCATTAGACAGTTTTATTTGTCAGCCAAATTTCAAGGCACTGTAATATTGTCGTGTTGCGCTGGCTTGTTTTTGTTGATTGATATGGTATTACTTGCAACCTTGGCTGATATATAATAATCAGGTGCATGTGGCATTCCACTGCCTATAAACCATTCCATTAGCCGTAGGGAAATATTGCTTCTGCGTGCAGATGGTCTGTTTGGATCTGCTTTAGTGGGATTGCTTATAATTATGACGATATGAACAGGCATCTAAAACAGTTTCGCTCCACACTAACTCTGGATCTAGAGGTCTGGGGTTCAAGCGTCGCCCAACGTGTTGTTTCCTTTTCCTTAGACAAGGAACTCTTTTTTTTTACTCCACTTTGCCTCTCTTCACCCAGGTGTATAAATGTGTACTGGCGACATACTCCTGTGAGGTAACCCTGTAATGAACTAGCACCCTTCTATCGTGAGGGGGGGAGTAGCAAGGAAATGCTAACCATGGCCGTTTGGACTTTTGGTGTGTGCCTTTATCTTTACCCTTTTTTTACTTCAAGATTATGGAGTATAGGCTTCATTTTTTTTTCTTTATTTTTTTCTTTTGTTGTATTAGAAATTTATATTGAATATTATAAGAGGGGTACCCAATAAAGCTGTGGAAAAAAAAGAAAAAAAATCTGCTTCAGCTGTTGGTTGACAATTTTTTTTGTGTTACTTCTGTTTTAGTTTCAAGAACAATGTAAGAAGAAATCTGAAGCCATTGTGCAAAAGCTTCAAAAGCTTGTAGCTTCACCGCTACAAGCTCTGCTAGTACAAAAACTGAAGAGGCTGCCGCCGCTTTGAAGGATGATACTAATGAGAATTCTAAATTATGGAGTAGTGTGAGCACTAGGAAATGAGTAGGTATTGCAAAGCAATTTTATTTTTTATTTATGCCTGTTTATTAACATCTTTCCTGTAACTACCAGGAAAAGTGGAATTGAGTAAACTGTAGAAAATACTTCTCAAATAATTATTATGAATAATTCATCAAAGGAAACAAAAAAGAAAGTCACAAACGTAAAAGTAAGGCTATAAAATAAAAGTTATCATGAAAATTGAGCAAAATGTAGAATATGTACAATATCTGCATAAAATCCTCTAGTGTGACCATTCAAATGAAAGCTACTGAGCAGTACTTTCCTGTGGTACTGTTTATAATGCTGTACAGTGTGGTTCTAACTTTTGAGTGTGGCTGAAATCTTGAATTGTAACCATTCAAAGGAAAGCTTTTTTTCAGTACTTTCCTGTGGTACTGTTTATTATGGTGTACAAGGTGGTTTTAACTTTTTGAGCCTGTGGATGAAATGATTCAGTGTTTTGAATGTTCATACTTATAGGTGCAAAAATAGCGTCCAAGACCTTGACCATAATAAACAGTACCACAGGAAAGAACTGCTCATGAGTAGCTTTCATTTGAATAGTCAGACCTTAGCATTTCAACCACGATCTCAAAAGCTAGAACCACCTTGTACAGCGTAATAAACAGTACCACAGGAAAGAACTGCTCAGTAGCTTTCATTTGAATAGTCAGACCTTGGGATTTCATCCACGATCTCAAAAGTTAGAACCACCTTGTACAGCATAATCAACAGTACCACAGGAAAGAACTGCTCAGTAGCTTTTATTTTGAGTGGTCACACTGCAGGATTTTATCCACAGACTTAAGGACACTGTGTAAAAATTTGCTGAAAGCAAACTCAATGCATCTCGTTTCCTTTCCTTGAACGCACTTTTCAATGCTAGAACAAAGCAATGAAGCATACTACATTGTGTTCGATTTGATGTTGTTGTTATTCATTTTTTTTTCGGTGGTTGTTGTTAGGCTTAATTCATTATCCATCCTCACAAAAGCGTCTCTGGACAAGGCTAAAGACAACACTCAGCAGATTAACAAGTAAGGCTTGCTATATTATGAAAGTTGTTCAATTTGCCAATCACAGCTGTCTGTTTTTCTTCCTATGTAGTTTTTCATTGTTCATTAATTTATTCATTTATCATCTCTTTTTCTTTAGTGTGATTACGGGTTTTATAAACCTTTACTCGTCAATCAATGATCATCTGGCGAAAAAAGCTAAAGAGTAAGTGTACACTTCTGATCTTCACTCTGACATGACTTTTACAAATTAACGAAAAATTAAATTTCCCATTATTTGCCCTAGTCAGTATTTTAGCGCTAAGGCTAGTGGGGCCGAGCAAATGCCTGAAAACAAATAATTCAAATGAATGTAAACAGGGCTAAGAATCCCAACTGGCCGTAGACAAACCAGCTGTCTATTTACAAGCATGGTCGAGGATTTGAACTTGGGACAACCGAGAACAAATCCAGCTAGTGGTCAGAGCGGGACTTAAACTCGGGGCTTCCGAATTACAAGTCCAGCAGAGCTCTAACCGCTCGGCCATGCTGCCTCCCTGACAAGGAGAAAAGACAAAGTCCGCGAGAGAAAGTACATGTGTTTCCTGAACCTTTTTTTGTTTTATAAATCTCTTTGTAGTGGCATATTCATCTTGTCAAGTCAATTGATAAAACTCGATATGTTTTACTACCCACCTAAACAGCTTTTTAAACTACCGTAAAATTCCGAAAATAAGCCCCGGGGCTTATATTTTTCAAAGGCCCTTTTTGAGGGGCTTATTTTTGGAGGGGCTTATATTCGGAGGGGCTGATCTACGGAGGGAAATTTGCGTTTCAAAGTGGATTGTGCTAGCCTTATATTTGGAATAAATTTACCGTTTTTGCTTTGTTTTCCTTTGTATTTGAGGGCAATTTTCCAAGTACAAGTGCCCGGGGGGCTTATATTTGGAGGGGCGATTTAACGGAGGGTTTTTTGCGTTACCGGTTTGGGGGGCTTATATTTGGAGGGGCTTATACATGGAGGGGCTTATTTTCGGAATTTTACAGTAACCCGTTTATTTTTCGTAAGAATTCATCTTTTCCGACGTAGAATTTCTAGTGCACAATAAGTCAGAGTTTTACGACAAAAGATGGTTTAATTGAACCAAATTTAAGTGGGTTTTAATTTTTGTTCAACAGACTGGAGGAAACAATGACCGGGGAGTCGCAAAACTAGCGGCAGTTGGGGAAACGCCAGACGCAGCCCTGATGGGCCAATGCTGGCATTCCAGTTTCCTGTCATGGAATCGCCTCCGAGCCAGTGACCCTCACTCAGTCCCGCTACAGGCCAACCATGCTGTTCACAATCACAGACTATCCAGCTTATGAGTTGATCCTCAACTCAACAGTTGAAAACTGTTGGCGTGAACAGCATGAACAATGAAGAGCATTATGGGAATACTCCTGCTCTGATCAGAGGCCTGGGACTGACTGGTTCCCAGACTTCAAATGTGGTCCTGTCTATTCAACTTTTCAAGTTTAGGGACCGTTCATTTTTTATGGGGTAGTGGGGCTGGTGGGATTTGAAGAAAAGCTCCTGTAGAATATGATGATCCCCCCCTCTTCATTAGAAAATTTTTAGGGTGCCCCCCTTTTTTCCCAAAATAATTGAGATGACCCCCCCCCCCCCTTCCAAAAAAAACAAACAAACATAACAAAACAAAAAACGAGAACACTGAAAAAGAAAGAAAGGTTTCTTTTTCTTTTTGTGAACTTAGATTCAGTCCTTTATATAATTCAACTCTTGAAAAAAAAACACCAAAATTTTACGAATTAAAGGAGTTGCAATAAGAGCGATGAAGTTTGAAGCGGTGCGAATTCACTTTTTGGGTGACGTTTTCGATGCCGTTGCCGTCTTCGTTGCTTAAGCTCTCTGTTATCACAGATACCGTCACTGCAAAACTTGAAAGAATACACCCAATATATTTTTGCCTGGCCCCCCCTTTGCAGCCATATTTTTTGGCATGACCCCCTTAAAACCCACCAGGCCACCCCCATATCCCCCCTACTGGATAAAAAATGAACAGAGTGGTGTGAAAACGTAATCGACCGTAATTGTTTCAGTTTTTAGAGGGAAAGGTTGTGGGTTTACACTGTTAGATCCAACACTTAATTGTATTATCTTAACCCACGTTTAAAAGCTTTTTCAAGAGGCTTTTTATAGTGGATAGTGCACTTAGCTTATCCAGCTAGTTTACAGCCACTCCACTCAAATACATAGAAACAAATAATTCAAATACAACATAACAGGATTAAAAACCCCAACTGGCAGGAGGCAACCAGTTGGCTTTTTACAAGCGTGGGCGAGGATTTGAACTCGGGTCGACCGAGAGCAAATCCAGCAAGTCGCCAGAGCGGGACTTGAACCCGGGAACACTCAGCCACGCTTCCTCCTTTCTTAGCTCGATAGCAACGGCCCAATTATGTTAGTATTAGCCCTACGTTGCATTGTTAGAGTAGCTTTTGCCGCGCTATTATTGGTTGTATTTGCTTTTCCCGCGCTATTATTGGTTGTGTTTGCTTTTCCCGCGCTATTATTGGTTGTGTTTGCTTTTCCCGCGCTATTATTGGTTGTATTTGCTTTTCCCGCGCTATTATTGGTTGTGTTTGCTTTTCCCGCGCTATTATTGGTTGTATTTGCTTTTCCCGCGCTTTTATTGGTTATGTGCCTCTGTATGTGCGCGTAGGTGCGACTGGTTCTTGTCTGTCTCTTCTGAGATTTGAGGGAACATTGCATCGATTTAGCTTGATAATTGTGAATCAAAAGCCTGTGTTAACTCTTCTTTTTTGAGTGATACACTTAAAGACTTGTAGCTTTAAGGGGGATCTAACTGCAGTTAAACCGATGTCCGATTTTTTTAACATTTAAGAAGGCAAAACGTCACGAATTTGTCAGTATAATCTTTGCATAATTAGTGTAATGTATTAGCACAAACATCCAAAACTTACAGAAGTTTAAAGCAATAGTTTGAATTGATATGGTCTTATCCCATGAAAATCGTTATAATTTGGTTGTTGCCGGAATGTTGGCTGGCCGTCAGCCTAAAGTCGCCTCTGTTTAGCAAAGCTACTGTGGGCTTTCTGTAAGCCAGTGTTTAATAACCTTACAAAGAGGGATTATACGTTCCTTCTCTTCATTACAGTTGGGTTCCATATCATTGCTTTCAATGATACACAAAACGATAAATATATTTGAGGAAGTTGATTTTATTTGGGTCTAGTGTAATTATATAAAATGTATTTTCTGTACACAAGTATTTACTAACGGTACCAAACAATTACGGAGTTTAATTTCCCTGTTTTTTTCTTCGTGGCTGAACCTCTCAGTATATGACAGCTGATATGTTTGTAATAACACAAAAGGATTTCTAAGAGTCCACGGTTTTCTGTTTCAGTTACTCACAGTATTATACTATTGGTGTGATTTGTTTTCAAACAACATAATATTAACTCGCCTAAGAAATAAAAAAAAATAGTTGCTTTGAGTGTCTTATAACTTACCAATTTTTGGGACACGCCCAAAATTTAAGTTATTCACGTAGCGAAGGTTGATAATTTTGTCGCGCAGCGCAGCGCGCGAATCGCGCGTGGTTCATAGCAGACTGCAAACTCGGTTGGCTCACATATATTTTCATTAAACACTGGCTTCTCATTGTCTAAGAGCGTACAGTTAGTTTTGGAAATCATGGCAACCTACATAATATAGTTAGTTATCTGCTAGCAGATTACTGACTAATCCGTGCGTTTCGCGCACAGTGCATGATTTTCCAAGAACGATAACAAACTGTGTTCCATGCGATGCTGTGTTTGTCCTTATTTTCTTCAAAACACCGTACAATAAAGCAATTGTTAGTTTCGGCTCTTTCGAGCAGGTGACGCTATAGTCATATGTGAAAACTGCTCCATGACGTCGTAAACCAATTAGCAAGTTTAAATGTAATTCGTATAAGGATAACCTATCGTGCTTAACCAATTCTGGTCTCCTTCACAGCTGTCCGTCAGATTGCCCTTAGGTAGAGCTATTTGAGCCATTTTCTAGTCTTTATGTCGCTTAAAAGAATCCAAACTACCCAAAACTTTGCATACCACTCGAGTATTACGCTGGCTGCTGTTCCTGATGCTTAATAATAGCTTGAGAAGCTCGGGCATGTGTAGGTGACAAAATCTGGCGAAAAAAGGTTTCACTGTATGCTCACGTTTTACCTTTCATTCCTCTATCTTCCCCTCCCCTGCTTCTTCTGGTTTTCTTTAACTTTTTTTTTACGTTTTCCCCAGGCCCAGGCCCTTTCAACTGAATTGCCCTTCTTTGGGCATGATTTGAAAGTTATCTTACCCCTCCCAGGGTGGGTACTCCCTTATATGACCAGTAAGGGGATGTGCCGCTGGACAGGGTGTGGTTTTGTCCCTGCTGTCCTAAACAGGGTATACAATTTCGCCCAAGACTGTCCTAAGCAGAGTAACAAAATTGAGGGTTTTGTCCTAAACAGGGTATGTGTTTTAGGAATTTTTTGCCCTAAACAGGGTCAGGGTTTGAAACCCTCAGCGGCTCACCTCTACCCAAATTTTGGTCAAAAGAGTGGCTCATTCTGCCTTGTATTGGTCGAGTCCCGTCCCCCTCCCCCTCAGGGGCGTAGCTAGGGGGGTCCTGGGGTGCCCGTGACCCCCTCTTGGTAGACCTTCTTTTAAGCAAACAACCTACGATATTCAGGTGGCGAAAACGCCATGACGATATCTTGGCCGTAAAAGCCATTGTTGAAAAGCCCACTTTTTTAAAATTTGTTTTTTTTGTAAAGTATTTTCGTCAACGGCTATTGTCTTTAGTTAATAGGGAACTTAAGAACCACGACGACGACTTTGTCGACGACGACCGGAAGTGAGATACCGTGCACTGCGCAAGCGCGGTTAGCAAATTTCGTCGACGACGCCAAACACAGTAGAGTCACGTCGTCCTGCAGTCCACAAGCTTCGGCAGGTATAACTCCCTGTTTTTAAGCGATTTTTCAAGGGCTTTGTATTTTTTTCACCTCGTAAATCCAGGTATCCTTTCTTTTTTCTGCTAACAAGCGATGTTGATTGAAAATTTGACTGATGAATTGTGTTTACTTCGAAGACAACACTGAGCTGTGCAGGCCGAGCGAGCGAACTCGCAAGTGACAAATTTATTTGTACCTATTTAGGTCAGGCAAATCATATGTCTTTAATATAGAGGAATGAACTTTATATGGAAAACAGCTATGGCATCGGAATGTCTCTTTTTCCAAATCTAAACTCTGACAGACACTCGGACTCGGTCATGTCATTCAGGTTGAAAGTTGAATAACCTTCGTACGGAAAGCAGAGATTTTTCCATTCGAAAAGGTCAGACAACACTAAAAATTCTTCATCGTCAATGAAAGTAGACGTACGGCTTATAAAATAAGATCTTGCATCGTCTTAAAAGACGCCTTTGCGAAAAAACTTTGTTGCGAACGAACATCACAGTTGTACTACTTCTACATGTTTGTTTACATTCAGTGTCGTCGTCGTCGACCTACCGATCGACTGCATCTTAAGTTTCCTTTTTCCCGCCGAAACTGACGTTCTCGTTCCAGTCCTTTCTCAGTCAACAGACGTCGTCGTCGTGAACTTCGTCGTGTTTCTTAAGTTCCCTAATATGGGCCTTCATGCCGCGATAATACGACTGAGCCCGCTGATACACGAGGGAGAGCAGCGGTATAAACCATATATAGTCCGCGATCCCCGGATGGTGTCCCTGCTGTGACCCCCCCTATGAAAAATCCTGGCTACGCCCCTGCCCCTGGGTCTTTCCTCTGCACAAGTAAGTTTTCAAAGGTAATATTACCTTTAATTTGTGTCTATAAGTGACTTTTATTACTTTTGTGACCAGTTATTACATTTGCCTTCAACAGGCCTAGGCCAAACGTCGAACTTTTCACGACACCGACCTGCCCAAACCCTAATTCGGATCGACCTAGATTCAGTTAAGATCGTCTGTTGTGTCGAACCAATCAACTAGATCAGTGATTTATTTTCTCCCGAACGAGGCTAAAGAAACATATCATACGAACTTTTAACTTATTAGTTTAGTTTGTTGCATGTGAAGATCGGTCGCGGAGATCTTCAGACGTTCGATCCGTCTGAAGCAGACGAATGGAACGTGTTAAACGATCCACACTCATTCAGTTTAGTTAAACTGAGCCAGACGTGGATTTTTTCATGAACTTAACTCAATAAGTTTGGTTCATCTCGTGAAAAGTTCGAAGTTTGGCCCAGGCCCCGGAAAGTCTTCCTCACTGAGTTGGTCATACAGGAAAAAATTACCAGAGGTCGAGACCTTCTAGGGAGCAAAGCTCTACGGGTAAATAGCAAAGCTAACTAAACTGGAGACACTGAATTTAGTTCTTAACGTATTTATACATGAGCAAACAACTAAACTGTGTGACAGGAAAATGGCTCACAGTTAGGGCCGAAGTTACCACAAACTTTCAGATAAAAGATGTCGAAAACAGAAATCAGAAAACTTGATGGTAAAAACACCGCCGGGAACGCGAAGCCTCGGCTATGAAAAAGCAATCCTATGCATATCAAAAAGACGAGTAAATGTAAAACTACAATATGTTTTAAAAACTGATTAAACCTAGTAACTGAATACATTGGGGAATCTGACTCCAGTATTACAATGGAGACCTTTCTAGACAGTAACTTTAAACAATCTACCAATAGAATAAACTAAATGAAATTGCCAATAGGCACGTCTAAAGTACACCTGTCACATATGGTATAACTTGGTATAACAATGGAAATAAAAATTTATACTACTGATTCCTGATGTTCTTCAGGTGACTATTTAACTGAAAGTTGCAAGTGCACAAGCTGTGCACACGATTAGTTGTAGAATAGGCTACGAAAATTTATCATTGAACTACGAAAAGATTCAACTTATTATTATTGTCCCCAATTAGCTAAGCAAATCGACACTTAATTAAAGTTGACATTTCATTTTAATTTTTCTCGCCTATTCTCGAAAAAAAGACACCCCGGAAAGCTTCATTGTACTTTTTTTCACCACAAAAGTTGGAAAGCTTATTTCCGTTGAAGGAGGTGAAGCCCTCTCCCGATGATCGCTAGATAATAAATGACATTCTCGCTAAAACCCGTAGTAGAATGACGATGGCTATCACATTTTCCAGGTTCGCGCGCGGGCGCTCTACTTAGACTACTTACTATTGGGAAAATCTCGTCCTCGTCCTCGTCTTAGAATCTAAAGCTCTCTGATGGTAAAAACAAGGGCCCGTACCCGGATAATCCTCGGCTATGAAAAAGCAATCCTACGCATATCAAAAAGACGAGTAACTGTAAAACTTCAATATGTTTTAAAAACTGATTAAACCTAGTAACTGAATACATTGGGGAATCTGACTCCAGTATTAGAATGGAGGCCTTTCTGGGCAGTAACTTTAAACAATGTACCAATAGAATAAAAACTACAACTATATAAATGACAAATGCGTAAAAAACAAATTAATTTGCCAATAGGCACTTCTCAAGTGCCTCTGTCACATATGGTACAACTTGGTATAACAATGGAAATAAAACTTTACTACTGATTCCTGATGTTCTTCAGGTGACTATTGAACTAAAGTTGCAAGTGCACAAAATGTGCACACGACTAGTCGTAAAATAAGCTATGAAAATTACACTAATCTTTGGACTACGAAAAGATTTAACTTATTATTACTACTTAGTATTGGGAAAATCTCGTTCTCGGGGTCTTAGAATCTAGAGCTCTCTAATAAGAGCACCACTGTCTCTTCCCCATTACGAGTTTCCAAGCTTGAGAGGAACGCTCGTCTTCATTGTGACACAAAGAAATTGAGTTCAGCTTTAGATAAATCGGAACTGCTTTACCGCATGCTGCACCTATACAACACAAACAGCAAATAGCAACGTTAGACAGCTAGCACAAGTAAAGGATACTGATTCCTACGTGTGCAGCCTACACGACGGACACCTCTGTACAACGGATACCTAGAGTTGGCCCCTGCCTTTCTTTACTGTCTTTACTTGACTCTCTAAAAGACAGACACCTCCCTCAGACGAACACTTAATGCCCGTCCCAAAATTGTCCTTCTCAGAGGGAGGTGACATGAAATACAATATTTTGACGATGTACCTAAAAATCTCTTAGAGCAATGGGCAACTAGCCTGCGTACCAAGCGTTTCCCTGCGGTTTCGGAGCAAAGAACGAGGAACGAGAAAAAAAAATGGTGTGAATAAAAGAGCGGGGAGGGGGTGGGGAAGAAATGTAAGGTCTCACTCGACCAAACCCGAAAATCCCGTTCCTCGGTCTTTCTTTGCTCCAAAACCAAACGGAATCGCTTGCCACGCAGGCTAGGGGGTAACACTAAACTGGTTACTTCATCCTATCATTAACATTATTGCAGTTTTGGTCAACTCGCTCTGAGACGGACACTTTTGGACCCATAACCCGACGTGTACCGTGTAACTCCCATAATTAATAGTCATATTGCCCTATGCAACAGCGTTTCCTGGATCAACTTATTTTTAGCATCATTTTGAGCACTTTTTCCCGTGATAATGGAGGCACGATGTCGTATGCGTGCGGATCCATAATACGATAATTACAAAAACAAGAAGAATTAAAATGGTTTCAAAACATCAGAAACACTATTTTCTAGTCTCCAGATTTTGATAACTAATTTGTAAGACTTATTTGATATTCAAAATCCGCGGTAAAATCGATCTCAAAATAAACTGCTCTGTGAAAATACCATTTCATTGGCACAAGGGAGTTGCTCGCTCCGTGTTATGGGATCCCGGAAATGTAAAGAAATCAGGAGACTTGAAAGAAATGTTCTCGTGTCAGGCCAAATTCAGAGTCGTTTGTGGTGAACTTGTCCTGTGATATGCAGCAGATTGATGCTAATTGGCACCGGTTGAGTTAGTTGTGATATAAAACGACAAATTAATTGCTAGTATAATTCATCCCAAAATACCTTGTCATTTATTAGATGCCCTCAAACTCAAATGTTACGTCATCACCAATGAGAACAAACGGCGCCCAGTGCTTCACTGCGCTAAAGCGGTCAGATTCTCTCATGGATTTCATGGCCTCATTCAGAGCCTCACTGGCACTTCGTTTATGGACTAGTTGTTGGTAGAAAACTTTCATAAACTCCATAGTAGCCTCGTCGTCGATCGCCCACAGGGACACCAGAACAGAACGAGCTCCGGCACCCAAAAATGCCCGTGCGATGCCGACCACACCCTCAGCTTTGACTTCCCCCCGGGCACTATGACAGCAACTGAGTACAACAAGTCTTGCCCTAATCTGAGCGTTTAAAACATCTTTCATAGTTAAGAGATAGTCCTCCCTGGCTGGACTCACAGATGAACGCGTTGTGTTTGGGGCCAAGGCAATTTCTCCTGTTTCCATTTTACCGTGAGCAGCAATGTGCACCAAACCAACCGAGGAGATACGTTTCAGGACTTGATCTTTTGTTGCCTGCTTTCCAACGAGAGGTTCCGTTTGAAGTATTTCCCCAATCATCTGCACTTCCTTTTCGGCCCACTCTAACTGCCCTAGGGTCGTTCCTTCATAAACTACCTCTTGTACCCACGGATTGCCGACGAGAAGGGTGCCAGTCTTGCTGTGCCAGTCTGCTGGACAATTTTGGATTAATCGCAGACTAGAAAGGGAAGGGAGCAGACGAATTCTAAAAGTTTCGCAAAGGTACTTTGATTTTAACTCCATGAAAGCTGCATAAGGCGCCAAACACAGAGGTCCTTCTGGAACAATAACCAACTCATCGCTATGGAGTAAGTCTCTTATAGGGTCTATAACAACATTGTACAATGTTTGTAATGACTTTGTCTCAACACATGGCTGAGACCTTGGCTTACTGGATCTTTCGTCTGCTAACTTTTTATCGATTGGGTTACTTAATGACCGATCTTCACAGTTAACATCAGCTCTCACACCTATTTCTTTATATGTAGTATCCAATATAAACTGAAAATAGGTTGTGACAGAGATATCGATCTTAGTTCTTCTAGTTTTGATTTCTTTTCCTTTCTCGTTCACCCAGAGAATTATTCCTCCCTCGTTGATACCTATGAAAGCTGTATTTGATGGTAAGTAATTAGGAAAGTCACTTGGTCTGGCAGAAAGTGTTCCTCTTTCTGGTCGTAGCCCTTTAAGGCCATACTTGACCTCCAGAAGATCATTTAAAGCCTGCGCACGTCCTTGATCAGCAGTTAAAAGTGCCTCGATGACTTTACCTTCCTTAAACTGCAGACCCCATAGCCTCGAATTAATATGATTATACGTATTCCCAAGGCTAATCTTCCATTCGTCATTAGATGAGAGATTTCCCCTGATGTGGTCGAAGACTATAACACTATTCTTATAATAGTGAACAGCTTTCTGGAATTCTCCAACACTGTGATAGGCGTCGCCAAGGTTACAGTACGCTTTTCCTTCTCCCGCCCTGTCTCCCACCTCTTTCGAAATTTTGAGCTGTCGTTCTTGGTACACTATAGCTTTCTGGAAATCTCTAAGACGGAAAAAGTCGCTGCCAAGATTACCGTACGCATTTCCCTCTCCTGCCCTTTTTCCTGTTTCTCTGCAAATTTTGAGGTCTCGTTCATGGTACTCTATGGCTTTCTGTAAATCTCCAAGACTGTGGTAAGCGTTACCGAGATTACAATACGCTCTTCCTTTTCCTGCCCTGTCTCCTACTTCTTTCGAAATTTTGAGGTCTCGTTTATGGTACTCTATGGCTTTCTGGAAATCTCCAAGATGGTAAAAGGCGTTGCCAAGATTACAATACGCTTTTCCTTCTCCTACCCTATCTCCTACTTCTTTCGTAATTTTGAGTTGTCGTTCATGGTACTGTTTGGCTTTCTGGTAATCTCCGAGACTGTTATAGGCGTTGCCAAGATTAGCATACGCTCTTCCTTCTCCTGCCCTGTCCCCCACTTCTTTCGAAATTTTGAGGTCTCGTTGATGGTACTCTATGGCATTCTGAAAAGCTCCGAGACTCTGGTAGGCGTTACCAAGATTACAGTACGCTTTTCCTTTCCATTCCCTGTTTTCCACTTCTTTCGTAATTTCGAGGTGTCGTTCAAGGTACTCTATGGCTTTCCGGAAATCTCCGAGACTGTTATAGGCGTTGCCAAGATTACAGCACGCTCTTCCTTCTCCTGCCCTGTCTCCAACTTCTTTCGAAATTTTGAGGTCTCGTTCATGGTATTCTATGGCTTTCTGGAAATCTCCAAGACTGTTATGGGCGTTGCCAAGATTACAGCATGCTTTTCCTTCTCCTGCCCTGTCTTTCACCTCTTTCGAAATTTTGAGGTGTTGTTCATGGTATTCTATGGCTTTCTGGAAATCTCCAAGACTTTTATAGGCGATGCCAAGATTACCATACGCTCCTCCTTCTCCTGCCCTGTCTGCCACTTCTTTTGAAATTTTGAGGTGTTGTTCATGGTATTCTATGGCTTTCTGGAAATCTCCAAGATTTTTATAGGCGATGCCAAGATTACCATATGCTCCTCCTTCTCCTGCCCTGTCTGCCACTTCTTTCGAAATTTTGAGGTCTCGTTCAAGGTACTCTATGGCTTTCTGGAAATCTCCAAGACGGTTATAGGCGTTGCCAAGATTACAGTACGCTTTTCGCTCTCCTGCCCTGTCTCCCACTTCTTTTGAAATTTTGAGGTGTCGGTCATGGTACTCTATGGCTTTCTGGAAATCTCCAAGACTGTGATAGGCGTTGCCAAGATTACAGTACGGTATTCCTTCTCCTGCTCTGTTTCCCAGTTCTTTGGAAATTTTGAGACCTTGTTCATGGTACTCTATGGCTTTCTGAAAATCTCCAAGATTTCTAAATGCGATGCCAAGATTACAGAACGCTATTTCTTCTCTTGCCCTGTCTCCCACTTCTTTCGAAATTTTGAGGTGTCGTTCATGGTATTCTATGCCTTTCTGGCAATCTCCAAGTCTGTTATAGGCGTTGCCAAGATTACAGTACGCTCTTCCTTCTCCTGCCCTGTCTCCCACTTCTTTCGAAATCTTGAGGAGCTGTTCATGGCACTCTATAGCTTTCTGGAAATCTGCAAGACTATAATAGTCGTTGCCAAGGTTACCGTACGCTCTTCCTTCTCCTGCCCTGTCTCCCACTTCTTTTGAAATTTTGAGGTGTTGTTCATGGTATTCTATAGCTTTCTGGAAATCTCCAAGATTTTTATAGGCGATGCCAAGATTACCATATGCTCCTCCTTCTCCTGCCCTGTCTGCCACTTCTTTCGAAATTTTGAGGTCTCGTTCAAGGTACTCTATGGCTTTCTGGAAATCTCCAAGACGGTTATAGGCGTTGCCAAGATTACAGTTCGCTTTTCGCTCTCCTGCCCTGTCTCCCACTTCTTTTGAAATTTTGAGGTCTCGTTCATGGTACTCTATGGCTTTCTGGAAATCTCCAAGACTGTGATAGGCGTTGCCAAGGTTACCGTAAGCTCTTCCTTCTCCTGCCCTGTCTCCCACTTCTTTTGAAATGTCGAAGTATCGCTTATGGTACTCCATAGCTTTCTGGAAATCTCCCAGGCCTTGATAAGCGTTGCCAAGATTACAGTACGCTGTTCCTTCCCCTGCCCTGTCTCCCACTTCTTTCGAAATTTTGAGGTATTGTTCATGGTACTCTCTGGCTTTCTGAAAATCTCCCAGGCCTTGATAAGCGCTGCCAAGATTACCGTACGCTCTTCCCTCTCCTGCCTTGTCTCCCACTTCTTTCGAAATTTTAAGTTGTCGTTCATGGTACTCCATGGCTTTCTGAAAATCTTCAAGTCTGTGATAGGCGCTGCCAAGATTACAGTACGCTTCTCCTTGTCCTGCCTTGTCTCCCACTTCGTTAGAAATTTTAAGTTGTCGTTCATGGTACTCTATGGCTTTCTGAAAATCTCCCAGGAAGTGATAGGCGTTGCCAAGATTAAAATACGCTGTTCCTTCTCCTGCCTTGTCTCCCAGTTCTTTTGAAATTTGGAGGTGTTGTTCATGGAACTCTGTGGCTTTCTGGAAGTCTCCCAGGTCGTGATAGGCGTTGCCCAGATTGCAGTACGCATTTCCCTCTCCTGCCCTGTCTCCCAGTTCTTTAGAAATTTGGAGTTCTTTTTTATAGTACTCAATGGCTTTCTGAAAATCTCCAAGATTGTGATAGGCGTTGCCAAGTTTACGGTACGCTTCTCCCTCTTCTGCCTTGTCTCCCACTTCTTTCAAAATTTTAAGGTATCGTTCATTGTACTCTATGGTTTTCTGGAAATCTCCAAGACTGTGATAGGCGATGGCTAGATTGCCGTACGCTCTCCCTTCCTCTACACTGTTTCCCAGTTCTTTCGAAATTCGGAGGTGCCTTTCATAGTACTCTATGGCTTTCTGGAAATCTTCAAGTTTGTGATAGGTGATTCCAAGAACACGGCACGTTGCTCCCTCTCCTGCCCTGTCTCCCACCTCTTTCGAAATTTTTAGGTATTGTTCATCATACTCTATGGCTTTCTGGAAATCTCCAAGCATTTCATAGGCGATGCCAAGATTGACGTACGCTCTCCCCTCTCCTGCCCTATCTCCCAGTTCTTTCGAAATTTTGAGGTGTCGTTCGTGGTACTCTATTGCTTTCTGAGAATCTCCAACACTGCGGTAGGCGAGGCCAAGATTACCGTACGCTTCTCCCTCTCCTGCCCTGTCTCCCACTTCTTTCGAAATTTTGAGATTTTGTTGATAGTGTTCCATGGCTTTGTGGAAATCTCCAAGACTGTGATAGGCGATACCAAGTTTACAGTACGCTTTTCCTTGTTCTGCCCTGTCTCTCACTTCTTTTGATATCTGGAGGTGTCGATTGTGGTACTCTATAGCTTTCTGGAAATCTCCAATTCTGCGGTAGGCGATCCCAAGACTATTGTACACTGCTCCCTCTTCTGCCCTGTCTCCCACTTCGTTCGAAATTTTAAGGTATCGTTCATAGTACTCTATGGTTTTCTGGAAATCTCCAAGACAGTGATAGGAGCTGCCAAGAGTACTATATATCTTTGCCTCTATTGCCCTGTC